AATTGGATTTTAAGAAAGCAGAATTACTTAAACTGTAGCTGTTCAGTTTATAGGGTAACCGTTAAATTTTCCACATCCTACCGCGGCAGATGAGACCCGTAAATGTCGAAGCAGGCATAACCCGCCGTATCTATAAGAATGCACTGACGTAATTGTTTACATTATGGTACCCAAAATGGCGTGCCTTCTGGGGCCTTTGAAGTACTCTTACTGGTATCCGGCGTTACAAATAGGCGCAGAGTCCGCTTGATTTATGAGCACTGTCGGACTGGAGATACCAGCTCCTAAGAGTTTTATAAATAAATTGCATTGTTATGGCTTAATTTTGATGTTAACACTGTAAAGACGTTAAAATTACACAAAAAAATGTCGAGACACGTACAATTAAATTTGGGTAGTAGGTTACGGATCTGTATACCGTTTTTTTAGATAAGGTCATTTAGTCGTTATTTGCATTTTAAGTTTGCATTGCAAATGTATGAGTACGGTCATGTACGATATGATGTATGAGTAACATTATTTCCTGCTAGTATTTCATACAAAAAATTATTGCACTTTCACTTAACCCTTGCAAACTTGTTTATTTATCCATCGATCTTCATCATTAGTAGTGTTTTAAGCCGCAAAGCAAGCCGATATTGGCTAGTCTATACTAATATAAAGTCCAAATAAAAGGGTTGTTTAAGGAGAGTTTAACGAAATTTGTTGTATGGTAAACTCCGAGTTTAAAAGTAGAGTTTAGCGTTTAACTCCAAAATGACCCATAAACTCGAGTTTGTGACTCAATGAGAACGTAATATTACTTTAAGATAGTTGATAATCCTATCGAAAATATTGTCAAATCAAGATTTCTCAAACACCTTTCGTTTTGTACCCATACTGTAATATTTCATTTATTTTTTCAATTTAATTGAGTTAAATTTGCAAACAGGTGACAAACCTCTTCGAAAATATTTTTGACTTTAAGCCTTACTTAGTTGTGAACTAAATATGACTATGAATATGCGCCTATGATTTTTCATTGAAAATTGTTATGTTAAATCCCAAATATACATACACTGCCGGAACAAAGTATTGGCACAGCAAATTTTTCACAATATATGCAACAATTTTTATTCTAATAATTTTCTCCCAATTTTGTATAAAAATATGGTTCATTCAACAACAAAAAACATAAAAATATAATTCCTAAACTTTGTGCAAAACTCGCGAAAATTCAGCAAATTTTCATCAACATTTTCAACTTTTTAATCAGATGAGAATGCAGTTTTGCAGCCCATTAAATTCTAGTAAAAAAAATGCAAGTTCGGAGTTAGCCAAAAATCGCGTTGATTTTTAAGAATATTTTTGTTGAAGATGTTTTGCATTTTTTCCATATAAAGTATTTTCGAAAAGAGATTTTTGTATGGAAGAGACTGCGTGAAAAAAAACCAAAACAAAAATCAACGGTAATTCCTAGCTACTTAATATTTGCACATTATTATAATAAAATTGATTGGGCTACAAATCTGTATACTCAAAAAAATTCTAAAACATCTGATTAAAAAGTTGAAAATTTCATTAAAACTTGCTGAATTTTCGCGAGTTTTGAACAAAGTTTAGGAATTATATTTTTATGTTTTTTGTTGTAGAATGAACTATATTTTTATACGAAATTAGCGGAAAAATTTTAGAATGAAAATTGTTGCAAATATTGTGAAAAATTTGCTGTGCCAATACTTTGTTCCGGCAGTGTATGTATATCGTAACCTGAAATGCAAAATAGCGTAACATATCACTGAAATGGAAAAAGTCGTGACAATTTTTTTTTTTTTATAAAGCGATGTGGGGAGTTGTAATTCGATGAAATCCATCATAGCAATCAAAAAGTAAATTTTGAATTTTTTATAAGTTACAAATTTTTGCAATTCAGTGACGATGTTGTTACGTTATTTTGCATTTCAGGTGACGATATCTATGAAAGCCACGCGATTATCTCGTACATATGCAATTTTGCGTCAAAACTACCATAACAGCTATAATCTACTATTCAATGCAACGTTATTGCGGGATTTTCTGTGTAATACATCTGGCAACATAAACGACGTTAACGTAGAAATGGCGCGAGTCCCAACATCCAATAAGAATCCAAGGTCAATAAATGCTCCCGGCGTAGATGGTGGCGCGACTTTTGAGAGCGAATGAGCAGCGAGCGTTTTTTTTTACGGGTACAGCCGCTGAGCATCGATGGAGCAAATGAACTTACAATCATACATACATACCTAAATATGTTATAAACAATGGGGAAAGTGCATTATGTACACAATTAAACGTAGGAAACGGTGCGAAGGGGCAGTGGTCTCACTTGGCACATTATGGTTAGTACATCACATTTTGTTTTGTTGTTTTAAATGAAATCTGCTTTAAGAGGAATGTAAAAACATCAACCACCTATTTTGAGATTCGAATAGAAATAAATGCCTATTTTCCCATGCACTGCCGGTTGAAAGAAGAGAAATTAGATGCAGAAATAAAACGAATACGAAATCCCGAAGCACGATGTTGTTTGTCTCTGCTGCTTTGTACGTGAGGAATGCGTGCGGGAGGATGCACAGTAATTGTTTATCGATTACATGACAAATTTTACTTGTGAACAATGCGTTTTTACTCACCGATTTCCATTTCGCTATTGTCTACGTCACCGTTATATCAAGTTCTGCTTGCTGACTCCTCTTTCTAGTGCCTATATGTAGATAAATAACTGTTTTCCGGTCGGCCAGGCCCACTTCTTGGTAATTGAGGTGCGCTGGAGGAACGCCAGACTGCGAAGGCGATAAAGGCAGATTGTCGGTGCCGATGGAGTTTGCAGTAACTCTAACTACCTGCTCCAAGATTTGTTTACACTAGTTTAATATTATTTTATGTTATTATTATTATTGATTGGTTGAAATAAAAATTGCTGCGTTGTTTGCTTTCTTCGTACTCAATCTGTCAATTTCACCCAAGTGATCCACGATCCACTCCAACAACTTTTTTTGTTGCCAAATTTGGTCGTCAGGCAGTCGGTGATGCCACTGTCCAAAAGTTATCAATTCGGTTTTTTAATGGGTTTTTTAGACTGGGTTCACACAGAGAAAGCTTTGTTGCTCTTTTTCTGCAACATCTCTTTTGGTGTTGCTTTTCGCGTTCACACAGAGCAATTCTTTTAAATAAAATTGTTGTTGTCAGCTGTGAACGGGCCAACTAGAATTACTCAGACATGTTGCCTGAGCACGAGCAATTTGGAGGCCTTCCCCCTTCCTCGTCATCCTCTCTCCCACAAGTAAAGAGTTGCCGCGAAAAAAGTTTCTCTGTCTGAGCCTAGACATATTGTACTACGCACATGCAAAAGTAATTTAGCAAAAATACGTGTTTATATTAAAATGCATTCCCTCATGCATATTTGAGGCAGTTTTTTTTCGAAAATAAACAAATACTTTAAATTTAAATACTTTTAATTTTTCCACTCCCACCGACTGATTTTTGACTTGGTTCTTTTGCGTGCCGTGTATAAAAATTAAAAACCAAGATTTAAGAGTGAAGCGAATTTGTTCATCAATTCAATAAAACTGTAATTAATGCGGTATATAGGCAGTGTCTTCCCCCGTTAATTTTTATTAAAATAATTGGTACTTCGAACCAAGCTCGGTGTGAAGGCCCCTTGCTTTTATTTTTTTGGCAAATGCCAGCGCGAAAGAAATCAATCAGCTGTAAGCTTTTGTTTAGAAAGTGTAACGTAAAGAGAAATCAGTGAATCAAATCAAAAAGATAACAAAATATTCAAAACGCCGATGATTGCAGAAAAATCTATCATTCTTGTTGTGTTTCTTTACTATAATTCAATAATACATTTTAACAATTATTGAATCATGGCTGAAGGTAACGTTCATCCAACAAAACGCCTTAGATTAACTGGAAACTCGGACTGGCATGCTTGTGCTATACTGACTGACGAGTATTCAAAGGAGTCTCCTCTTGTTCGCGTTTATTTAAGTCAATTGGAAAGTAAAAGCCAAATATCAAGTGTAATGCAGGAACTAAGCAAATTATTGCCAATGGAACACATGGGTCTTCAACATTTAAAGCGTGTTCGGCAGCAGGAAATCATATTGTACAAAGTCAAAGATATTAATAACCAAACCTCAACAAAATATTTAAATTCTCTAGGATTCAGCAAAGAAACCGTTGAAATTTTATGCAGAGATGTACGTGAATATGATGTTCCGGCGCTCCCGCCCATGTTACGCTGGCAATATGAATTAGCACAGCAGCGTTGGCCAAGCAAATTTCATGCAAACAAATATATGGAACTACTTTACGACGGGAGTATGTTTAGCGAGGGGCAACGAATTTTCCACTCCAAAGTTTGGCTTTTACTGAATTCAATTTCAAGTGAGTTGGAGCACAATAAGCCATGTGGTATTTGCATAGATCCGCGTAACGATACAGTGGTTGCTTTGGCGGCCAGTAGGACTACTCTAAATCCTGTAATGCATTGTCCAATGGTGTTGGTAGATTTCGTAGCACGTACACAGAGTGGCGGTGCTTGGCTAAAGGAATTTTCAAACGAGTTTCAAAGTATTTACAAAGATTCCGACAGCAGCAATGATTTTTATTCCGTTACAAACGGAATACCTGAGAAATATTTGGAGTTTATTCAATCAGATGCACGTTTTAAAGACTTAAAAATTGGCGCAGAACCTCTAAGAACAAAAACTACGGTGCAGTCGGCGGAGCAAACTACACAAGTTGAAGACAACTTGGTAAAATATGGCCCCTATTTATGTACCGGATATGATGTGTATTTGAGCCAAGAGCCGTGTCTAATGTGTGCTATGGCGCTGGTACACAGTCGCGTGAGAAGAATATATTTTTATAAACGTTCTACGAATGGAGCATTAGTAACTCGATTAAAGCTACATTCTGTAAAGGAATTGAACCATCACTACGAAGTTTTTGAATGCAAAAGAAAATCCAATAACGAATGTTGTAGGTGACGTATGTGCTATTAAAAAATGTTTGTAATTAAATTATAACGCTTAGATAATAATTTAAGGGCAATGCTTTATGCAAATAAAGTTTTTCAATTATTTTAAATTACTGTATTTTAGTACCCTGTCTTGCAGGCGATGATAGCAAACCAAGTAATTGGCAGTCAGCTTCTAAAATAGTCAAATCTTTTTCTGAGCCCAAAAATTTCGTTGACAACTCCAAATCTTTAATCCGTAGCCTTACGCGTGAACCTCGCACATAGTCTCTGTAATCAAAATAAAAAAATTATATACAATTCATAGAGTTTGGTTATTTTAGAAACATACTCGCCACCGCGCGCCGGTCTCGTGCATACACAGTGAAACTTCCACCCGAAATCAATATATAAATCATCCCCGACTACATGAAAAATTTTTCCACTCACTATTTTGCCTTCTGGATCACCTAACTAAGATGTGAAGTGGCAGATTTTATAATTGTGAGTGTAAATAAAGTATATTTAAGTAAAACTTACATCAATGAATTTCGATTTACGCAACAAAGACGGAAACGTTTCTACATCTACAACTTCCTCAGGTTTACTTGTGGCAGCTTCCGTGTGTTTGTCAAAGGCCAAAGCGAAACCACTTTTCACACTTGCACCATCAGCAGTTCCAATAGCTTCCTCTGCCTGAACATTTGGTGAGTTGCTCGGTGGTTTGTTTGTACACAAAGCACGCACTGATTGCACAATCTTCAAGTTTGCCAACCTCGGTAAAATTCTTGCATGGGGAAAGCGCGTAATAGCAACAGTAGTTACTTTATGAAATAACATTTTACTTAATAGAAATGGTGCTGATGAAATATCAAAGGATAAACTCGTATTTTAAGGTTATGTTGTGTTATGTCAAAAGACATTTGACAATAAATAAATAACAGCTGTTCGGGTTGTTGCAAGGCGAATTTATCCAAGGTGGTGTTCAAGGCGAATTTAGATTTTCGCCGCGGTCCTTCTGAATTATAATTATAGATTCGCCTTGTTCGCCTTGGTCATAATGATAAATTCGGCTAGGGTTGTCATGAACCAATCATGAACCAATTAGAACAGATCTGACCGGTTGAGAAGCAGCCATTTGTAATAGCAATTGAGAAAAAAGTGTGTTACGTTCGTAATTTTGAAGTTTGCTATTTCTGTTTTGCTTCTTTCTTTATGTGTATTTTGTCGATGGTTTATTTCACAAAAAAACTTGTTTTCGTTGCTTTCTGAGCTGATGGTTGCTTCACTGTTTTTACTTTTCTTGTGTCTTTCTTCGCTATTATCACTATGTTCTTTGCTTTAAGAAAATTTGACACAACAAAATTTCTTAGGCTTTTCTTGTGCATCATTTTATATGGAGTTGTTGCTTTTCGTTAGAGCTGGATACTAAGCTGAATCCAAGAAATTTTGGTTTTTACGGGTGTGCTGTCAAATCAGTAAAAGCAAAAATTAAATACAATGCGAATGAAAGAAGAAATCGGCTGGTCTAATAAACAACCTTCTGTATGAATACACTTTGTTTCACTACTTTTGCTGAATTCAGCCACACCGGCTGCCCTTATCGTATTTCTTTGTTTTGACATACATCAATTTTCCTTTCTTTATCAGCTGCTGCGATTAGTGCACGTTTTCCTGCTGATATCCTTTGAGCTGAGATTTAATTTAGCCGTTATTGTATAATTTTTAAGGTTTTATCAATTAAATTGTAGATATGATAGAACAACAAAGACAACGTATTGAACGTGCTGTAACAGAGATGGTGGATGATATGGATAAAACCCATTTACGTAAAATGCAGGTGAGTGCATGGGGGCAACAGCACTGAATGTTTGTTTTTAAATGTCATGGAGTATAATTGTAGACAGATATGCACTTATGCTCGGCTAAATGCTGCCAGGATATGAATGCAAGCATTGACAGTGTACAAAGATGTGTGGAGAGATGCTCGGCGCCGTTGACGCGTGCACAATCCTATGTTCAGCATGAGTTGGGTGAATTTCAGGGACGCCTACAGCGCTGTGTTCAGGTAAGGAAGTAATTTTTGTGTGCTTAATTTTGCAAGTCAATGTATTGCGGTTTTATTGTTTACTCTTTTACCTTAGCAATGTAATGATGACGTCAAAGTGAAGATGCCGGTCAATCCCTCGGGTGCAGATATTGCCAAATATACCGACCAATTTGAACGTTGCGCAATACAGTGTGTGGACAAGCACGTTGGTCTTATACCCACTATGATGAAAACCATTAAAACTGTGCTAGCGAAAGGTCCAGAATCCATTCCCCAAGTTTAAAAGCTTGCGACAAATATAAGCTTACCCACAAATTGTACGGTACATCAGCAACAACTGTTTTGTTTGTTAGAAAATTATGTGACGAGGTTTAACAAAATTAAGCTGCAATTAATCAAGAAAATAAATTGGTGAAACTTTACCTGGCAATCTTTACGTTCTACATACATACATAAATTCCTTCTGGCTGATGTCAGTTAAACAAAATTTTCCGCCATCTAAATCTAACTAACACTCCATCGCTCCATTGCCAACAAATTGTGTGTACTCGTAATACTCGTAAATGATAGAGCAACAACGTAAACGCGTAGAACGCGCGATATCCGACATGATCAATGAAATGTATTCAAGCCATTTGCGTAAAATGCAGGTTGGTAAGCGTTTAAGAGTTGAATTATCTTTTTATTACCGAATCAACTTGCTCATCCCAGTCTGAAATGCATATTTGTGCGTCTAAATGCTGCGATGATCAACGCGGAACTTTAGAGTCTGTGCAGACTTGTATTGAGGGATGTGCGGTGCCGCTTATTAAAGCTCAGGATTACTTACAGCAAGAGTTGGGGCAATTTCAAGGGCAACTGCAAAATTGTGTTATGGTCTGTTATATTTTTTGTTTATTATCTAGTGTTACTTTTTTGTAAAATTTTTAGAAATGTAGCGAAGAGGCGAGACAAAGACTGCCACCAAGTCCAGGAGATGTAGAACTAGCCAAAAATCAGTATCAATTTGAAAATTGCACTGTGGCCTGCGTAGACAGACACATTGGACTCATACCCACTATGATGAAGACCATTAAGGCTGTGCTAGAGAAAGGCCCCAATGCCATGCCTCAAGCATAGAGTGTTATGTGTGTATGTAAAATGGGTTAATGTTAAGGGTTTTGTTTATAATAAATGAGAAGTTTGAAAGAAAGAAGCCACCTGAATACTGTATTGGAGAAAAATGTTGTATTTTTAACAGAGAATAAGATAAATTAGTAATTGGTATTCGCGACGTATAAACGAATACATATACATATGAAATGTTGGGAACTAACAACAAATTTTTATAAAAACTATACAAAATATATCTAACATGCATTGTTTGCATACTACTCCGTTAGACGTCGTTTCTTTTCTACTTCTTCTTCGTATTGTTCACGCAGGTCTTCTATTTGATTCTCATATTTTCGTGTCAAGGTTGCAAGCTACAGACATAATGATTAGAGGTTTAGCAGTCATTCATTAAAAATGTGTTATACCTTTAAGTCAAACATGCGTTGCAGTAATTCTGTCTCTCGCTTCAAAGATAGTTGGTAATCCCTTTCTTTTTCAGTCAATTTCTTCTCAAACGATTCAACCAAATCCTTTCGCAATTGTCGCTCTTGTTCGATTAACATTAAACGTATTTCAGCATCTTTCCGCTCCAGCTCACTGCGTAGGCTGAAAAAAAAAACATTGAAATAATGTGGTAAATAGTAGATTCAATAGTTACTAATAACTTACAAGATATTTTCTTCGGCTGCAGATTTAGCCTTTTCCACTACAAAAGAATAACGTGATTTGTTCACAGGCTTCGTAGGCTGTTTAAAGATAATGTTCTTCGCTATTGCAGAAAATCGCAAAACATTCATATTTTCTTCATAAAAACAGTCCGTTGGTGTAACGTTCACGATCATTGTTAGCTTTTCTTTACCGAGCAAAGCCGCCTGCAAAAGCATCGTAAGTTTTGACTCTCGTACCGGAATTATTTGACCCTTGGACTTAAATTTTTTATTGTTATTAGCAGCATCCAGACAACGGCCAAGTGTCATAAGTGACGTGTTGATACCTTTAGCTTCTGTGAGACGGGAGCCAATGTTACGCGTTTTATTTAAACGTTCAGATCCAGCCAGATCGCAAAATTTATATGAGGACTGTTGAATAAAACATTTATTTTAGAATACTTTTTTAAATGTTAGCAAGTAATGTTTACATCTAAATCACTTACATCAACAACTAATCCAGAGCCGTAGTACTTTATGACATCAATAAAAAATATACAATGCGAACGACTCGAATTCGCATTAATCGACGTAGAAGCATATGTTACGCGTTGCAGTCCCCATTGAAGTAGTTTTAGGGTTTCTGCGGAAGACTTCACATATACTGAGGTCAGTCCTTGTAAGAAAACTTTGCCATCATTTATGACTGTTTTGAGCCCTTTTCGCTGTGGAGGCGCCATTTGTTGATTTCCTCTTGTCTGTGGTGGCGCCAACAGATCATAAACGATTTCGTTATATATTTCTACAAAGGAAATCCATATGAAGACAGACACTTCATCTTGCTCTAGAGTTTGAAATTCATGATCACGTTTTATTGTTTTCTCCAATAGCTCGTGCTCCGCGTTCATTCCTGCGCAACATTCTAGTAATGTTTGACGTATGTTTTCTTCGCGCTCTATTTCGTTGTCGTCCATTATACAGGTATTTGCTTTCTCCAATTTCATAGCTGGTTGTGGGTAGATGTTGGACGCATTCAATCGAAACACATTTTCGACAGCACGCGGCACTATGCCGGGGTCGCTTGGGGTACCTGGAAATCATGACATTTTGCTGCAGTCATCTTCGTGAAAACACAAACTTTTACTTACCCAACAATGTAAAAGTTTTGCCTGATCCCGACGTTCCATATGTGAGTACTACGAAGCTGTCTGCGCTTTCAATGCGTGGTGCAATGCAAATTCGATACACTTCGTCCTGTTTCACTGTACTATCAAACACAGCTGAAAAACTGTAGTGTTGTTCCATTTTGTTCTTATTGTTACTTGTTGATGCGGTATCATTTGGTGGGCCGGCAACAAGAACATTTCCCGCATGATTAATTTTGTAAGTTGAAGAAATGTGTGATACAGGTTTTAAACGTAAATAAACTAACGCACTATTGGAGTCAATGCTCTGATCACTGCTCGGATCACTGCTCGCTTCACTTTGCGCTGTGGAAACTTCATCGTCAGTCGAGAGTTCGACATCGCTGTAGTAATCTCTCTGGCCTTCTTCCTGTATTTCATCAAAAAGTCGCACTTGGCGTTCGGGCCGTGGTCGAGAACAACGATCAACAGAAGGGTCTCGCGCACGTAGAAAGGACGGACGCACATCTTCGCAAATGCTATCAAGCGAACTTTGATCCGACATTATTTTGCAATTTTCTAGTCTCTTCAAAGGGATGGATAAAATACACTTCAAATAACTGTAAATTAATACGTAAAACCTTTTATATTCAGATTGGCGCGCAAGAAAAATGAAAATACCTACGTAAATGAAATGACAAGCAGCTAGATAAATTCAAATCTGATGGATTTCGATAGAGTTACCGCAGCTTTCAATAATAACTTTAAAATTGTGAATACATTTTTCTTCTTCTTATTTTCTTGTTTCACAATAAAACTATGGGGTTACAATTTTTTTTTAAATGAGGGCATGTTATTTAAGCTCTGATCCAGTACTCCATGAACTTATAGGATTTTACACGAACTTGCAGGAAGTTGCAGGAAAAATGTTCCCGTACTCCAAAATCCTGTAAATGAGAGCAACTTTTGGAGAGTTGTGTAGAGAATGAAGTTACAAGATTTTACCCGAACTTTTTCTTCTGGTAAAATCATGAAAAGTGTCAAGCAATCACTGGTTGACATTTTACAGGAAAAATGGTTTTTTTGTTCCCGTACTTTTTGTTGTTACTCACTTTTTACTCTCACTTCAGAGCGTAATTTTGCTGTTTGACAGTTTTACAGGATTTTTCACGAAAAGTATTGGATCAGAGCTTTAGTCTGTTCCTTTGAACTTCGGACTAAAACCTGTGGAACTGTCAAACTACAATTTTACGCTCTCAAATGAGGGTAATAGCCCGAACACAATGAAAACGACGAGCTACAAACCACAGCTGTCAAATTATTTTAACACGTATAGCCCGAACACAATGAAAACGACGAGCTACAAACCACAGCTGTCAAATTATTTTAACACGTACTCGCTGTCGTTTGCTACAAACGGCGAGCGGCTCATAAGTGATTTTGTACTCAAAGCGTAAACATGGAAAGGAAAGACGCGGATGATGCAATTGAAATACTTATGACTTAGGGTTTTTTATGTATGTGTTACTTAAATTTATTTATATTTTACTTATATGTATGTACATACATATACATATAGTAATTTAGCCTCATTTATCAAAAATTCAATTAACGCACATGGCTTGGATGCATTTAACCGCGATGGGCACACTGCAAGCATCAACACAAAATGAGGTTGTTGTTTTTGTTTCCAATGCGATGCCATGCGCGCAAACCGCCCTACAAACGACGAGCATGTGCGCATGTGCGCGGATATGCTCGTCGTGTGTACTACTGTAATGCAGCGTTTTTGCTGCATTTAAAACGCAACATTTAGCACTTTCGAACATATGTTTTCGAAGAGCGTTCATGCCAGAGCGTATGAAGCTAACTGCCGTCCCTAAATTGGAGCGCTAAGCGTTGCGTTATCCATTGTCGACGAGTGTCAGCGCGCGCTATCCCCAAATCAACGCGTCGTAATTTTTGACGTTTTCTCAGATCCTCTCGTTTTTATTCTCGTTTCCTCTTTCACTTTTTTGTCCTTTCTCTTTCTTTCCGTCTTCCGCATCCAACTTCAACACGTAACGCCCTGTCAAAAATGAAAATTCCATTTGCTCGGCATTAGCGCCGCGTTATTGTGGGATGCTTCATACAAATTGTATGGGCATGAGGATTTTTGACAGTTGTTTGGCGCTTGACGCGCCAATTTAGGGATGGCAGTAACTCAATTTCCAGTTTTTGTTCTGCGTGACATTTTGATTTGACGTTTCGCTCAATGAAATCAAATGCAAACGCATGCAAGTCAATTTCGGGTGACGCAAAAAAAACAAATTCGACGGCATGCGTACCAAAACGCAAGCCGCGAATATTAGGTTAGCCTGTAAGGAAAACTTCGGCGACTAAAACGCCGTATATAGATTTATACATGACCAAGGACTGTCTCTTCATCATCATGCCCTGAAAACTCTTTGGGGAATTTACACCCGCAAACACTGTTTTCGTCAAATGTTACACGTCACATATTTTAACGCGGCTTTCTTTGTCGTCAACTTTTTTAAGAGTCTTTCTTCGCTGAAGTTTATTTATGCGTCTTTCTTCGCGGTAAACTTTTGAACTCGCACCTATGTATATCCGTGTCTAGTGATATCATCCGAAAGTATTTTATGGAACGTACCTAACAGACCTGCACAGGTTATCTTGACTAGACTGACATTCAAGTAGGCAATAATTGAACAATTAAGAATAGAAAAGTTGTATGGTAAATTAAACTCAGGCTTGGATAATTGCTTGATTAATACTGCTATAAAAACGTGGCTCAATTTACATATATACAATTTATGGAATTATTATTGAGTCATTTATTAATTGAGTTATTTTATTATTATTTTGAACTTAATTAAGAGCTATCTATTTATTAAAAAATTTAAAATTCTTATCACTCAACAACTCAATTATTTTGATAGCGTTGATTTGTATAATTTATAGTTATAATAATCGTCCTTGTTTTTGTAGTATGAACATGATCGATTCACCTAAAAGCAGAGCTGCACCATTTTGGACTAGAAAGTCAGTCGTTAAAGAAGTTTGCACATTTACGGACCTCGATTTACCCTCTAAATAACCTATAATGAAAAGAAGTTACGCATTTCAAAAAATAAAAGAGGTTCTGGGAGCTGTGAGTTTTTTTTTAATTTACGTAGCATTTTTTTCTGGTTGGATTGTGTCTATTCGCTTAATTGTAAGTTGATTAGTCTAGAATAAAATTAGCAGACACATACATACATATGTACAATAAATATTTGTTTAAATCTCGTTTTTTGTAGTTTTATGGCAGTTTGTTTTGGAAGTCTTTGATACTAATTTACATTTTATATATTCAAATATCAAGCGCGAAGTGCATTTTTACCATCAAAGGAAATGGGTAAGTGATTAGTTAATCATGAGTGTGCGATACAAATTTAAAAGAGACTATAAATTTTCGAAAATATCCCAAAACACATCCATACATACATATGTACATACTAATACGTACGTATACATAATTCAAGCCTTAGATTGGCGCGCAGCAATTGGTTGTGGAAGAGTCTTCGCCGCTATTTCCCCATCGAGCTGGTCAAAACTGAAGATCTACCCGCAAATCGTCATTATTTATTCGCCACTTTTCCCCATGGAGTCCTTACGTTAGTATTAACTATTTAATTATTATTACACATTAACAATTGTTTAAGCGTTTTCATTTTACAGTTATGGCAGTGCTGTTAACGCGGGATTTGATATTGATAATTGGCTGGCCTTATTTCCTGGTATTCGACCCAAACATACGGTTTTAAACCTAACCTATGTAACGCCATTACTTTACGATTTTTTTCGCCTTTCCGGGTTCATTTCGGTTTCCGAAAAATCAGTGATGAATCATTTAACAAGTCGCTGGAAGGGTGATGGTTTCTCATCTAACGGTGTTGTCATTGTGGTTGGTGGCGCACAGGAGGCGTTGGACTCACGTCCCGGACAATACGAACTTTCGCTTTTAAAGCGCAAAGGTTTTGTTCGTGTGGCTATTAAAAGTGGGTATGAATTAATTCGGATTAACAAAAAAAAAATGTGTGTCATCTAAAAAAAGTCATATGGAAACGAACTTAATGGACGCAGGTACTTTTACGATTCGATACTTTAGATTTCGACTAGGCATTAAATGGCGAAAATTGTAATGACAAAGTTGGGCACATAGTGAAATAATATATAACTAGTGAACCCGCATGGCGTTAAAACGCCCTAAAGTTTAATTCAAGCGATTAATTACAAGCGATCCAAGTTCCATATTTCTTCTAAATCCATGCAGCCGTTTCTGAGTGAAGAGAGGTCTCGCATAATGTCGGTTTTTTATACATATCATCAAATTTAAAATCACCCTGTACCGATAAGAAAGTTTTGACTTTCAAAATTAAAATTTTATAGCACATCTTCAGGACAAGGTCTTTACTTCAAACCTCTCATATTTAAAATTCGAAAGAACGGTAAATGTAACGACCTTGATACTCATATTTTGATATTTCGTAAATCTTGAGTATCAGTTTAAAAAATTCGACTTTCCATACAGATAGAAATCCATTTCAAAAGTATTTCCAGACTAAAATCTTCTTACATCTCATTTGTCTAACATTGTGATAAATATTTCAATTAAATTGAATGAATTCAGTTGAACTTGATTTTTCAAACACGTTGTAGCCCTCCTAAATAAAGCCTTTTAAAACCCATTTCGATTGATATCCATCTTTTAGTAATTCGTCCAAATTTCTAATTTTCTTTCGTTAGACACTCGTATTTTAATATTTCATATAAATTGTATATAAGTTAATTAAATTCAACTTTTCAAACAGGTGGCAACCCTCGTCAAAATATTTGCAAGCTAAAACCTTCTTAAATAACCTTCCTCTGACATCGTGATACATACTGATGATAAACTGATAAATTAAGATGAATTTGATTTTTTGAACATGTGGCAACCCTCTTAATATGTATAGTTCAGAAATAAGGCCTTGCAAAATCCATTTAAAGTATTGCCAATATTTTAATAATTCATTAAACTTATTAAATACTTTGAATTAACTTTTTAAACGGGCGGCAACTCCCTTTAAACACCTCAAAAATATTAGTGTTAAACTCTTTTGTTTGGCGTATTTTAATATTTCACTGTTTATAAGTTGCCTGAATTCGACTTTCCAAACAGGTGGCAACACTCTTCTAAACATTTACAAACTGTTACCTCCTAAATTATTTTCGTTTGACGACCATATGGCGATACATATTTCTATTACCTGATTCCCTTAATTCAAATCGAATTAAACTTTTTAAAAAGGTGGCACCCCTCATACAGTAAAGTAATGAAAAAAAGATTTTTAAAACCGTTTCAATTGGTACACATTTTGTAATAATTGGTTTAACTTTTTAAATAATTTGAATTTATTTTTTTTTTAATCTGGCAACTTCGAAAAAAATAAAACCTTATTGCTCTGATGACCTGGATAAAAAAAATCCTTTCACATATTATATATATAGATAGTATAAGGGCATATGGTTAGACATTAAAAAATAATCGTGTCATTACTTAAAAAAAATAGTCATTAAGTTCAATTCCACATGGGATTTTTTAAATAACACCAATTTTTTGTCATTTCAATGCCTGGTGCCAATTCGGCTT